CAGAGTAGTTAGCAACAACATTCCCTTTGCCGATACCAGTAATTAGCCAAGAGAAGAGTGACGTTTGCCACTTGCCACCCCATGTGACCTAAGCAGCAGAAGCTCTAGAGCAGGGGTCCTCAAACTTTTCAAACAGGGGCCAGTTCACTGTCCCTCAGACCGTTGGAGGGCCGGACTATAGTTTTAAAAAAAAATATGAACAAATTCCTATGCACACTGCACATATCTTATTTTGAAGTAAAAAAAAACAAAACGGGAACAAATACAATATTTGTATTTGCATGTGGCCCGCGGGCCGTAGTTTGAGGACCCCTGCTCTAGAGTCTGAAAGAAACTCTGCAGGATCTGAGTGGCCTCTCTGGGCATCTGCCTTTTATTACCAGGTTTTAGCTCATGGATTTGCCCAGTCATTACTTTTAGATGATGCTGGCTCAGTCCTGGCCACGGCCACCAGCTGGGATGAACTAGAAATTCAGGAGGAAGCGGAGTCTGGCAGCAGCATCACATCCAAGATCCGACTCCCTATCCAGGTAAGCCAGGGCCCCTGTCAGAGCCGGACTGAGACCTGCTCTGAGGAAAGGGAAGAGCTTAGAAAATCACTAATGGTCAGCTGCTGAGGGGGAGCTGCAAGTAATAGTTACAACTTTCTGCTGGGGGTGGGGGAGGCCAAGTGGCCATGGGGCCAAGTAGATAGACTGCTCCAGAGTCAGTGATGATTCTTCCCTTTTGTAGCACTGGCTCTGCTAATTAGAGAACCACTTACCCTTTAGTGAAAACAGCAGCGTAAAAAGGTGCCACCGAGGGAATGACAGCCAGTGTCACTCGGATCTGTTAGCTGGGCTGTAAGAGGGGCTGATTGGAGAGGTCAAGGTCTTGGTGTGAAGCCAGGATAGATGGACCCATATTTACTGCATCTCATTTAATCGGTGCAAGTTGGCGACTCGGTGCTCCTTTGTTCTTTCAGCCGTCCTGGTATGTGCAGTCCTTCCTGTTCAGCTTGTGCCAGGAAATTAATCGGGTTGGAGGCCATGCCTTGCCCAAGGTGACGCTGCAGGAGATGCTGAAAAACTGTGTGGCTCAAGTAGTAGCTGCCTATGAGAAACTCTCAGAAGGAAAAGAGACGAAGGTAGGTGTTTGAGGTTTTCTCCATTAAACACTGAAATAAACCTTAGCTTTCTCTGGGCTCTGGGCAGTGCACAGCAAGGACTCTGGGTGCTGAGGGTCACTGAGCCCAGGCTATCGAGTTGGTAGTGGCTGCGAGTTTAATTACACCATCCTCAGGAGTCAGGCAGGTCTTCATAAAAAGGCAGTCAGTACAGTGGGAGGAGGAAGGCCTCAGAGTAACAAAGACCCCTTCTGACCAGGCAGTCACACACCGGGGTTTGGGGCGAATCATTTACATCTCAGTTTCCTCAGGATCAAATGTGGTCTCTTAAGCTAAACTTCTCTGGGGCTGGGAGGAAGTTGGAAGGATTACAAAGCACAGCCGTGGCACGGGAGGTATTTAAGAGTCCCTGCCCCTGCCCCCTCTCCTCTCCTCCATGGTCTGGGAAGCATTCTGCCCTCGTGGCATATTCTCACTTCATTAGTAACACTTTTAAGACAGGCTCACCTCCCAATTTGGGAAGAATTCAGGTAAGCCTTCTCTCCTGAGTTTGCTCACAAGGCCTCTCCTTCATGCAAGGGGCGTTTTCCCTTTAACATGACCATCTCCAGCACCTGAGACCTTTTTTAAGGGCTGGGTCCTCCCTGTGGTTGGGTTTTAAGACCAAGTTTCTAACCTGTTTTGTTGTGAGATTAAAGTGGTATGAATGGAAAAAACATCTGCTTCTGAAATAAGCTGGGACTCAACCAACCCGTGACATGGAAGTCATCTCGCATTTGTTTGCAGAGAGAAGGTGCATTTCCAATGACCCAGAACCGGGCACTGCAGCTGCTTTACGACCTGCGGTACCTCAGCACTGTGCTCACAGCCAAGGGTGAAGAGGTGAAAAGTGGCCGCAGCAAACATGACTCCAGGTAGCCTCACCCCAGCTCTCCCAATACAGCCTCTGCCCAATGCAAGAAGCCCCTTTCCTGGGGAGCCCCCAGCCAGCCGTGCTGCACAGTAGCTGTGCTTGTTTTAGACAGGAAGCTCCTGTTGCCAGCAAGATAAATACTGACCAGCTGCTGGATACATTCCACGGCCAGGCGGAGTAAGTGGGATCTCATTCCTCTTCTCCAGAGTCAGCCTACCAACTGCTGGGTATAATTGGAGCCTCCAGTGCCCTCCCTAAACACAGCATGGGAAAAATGGACTTGACTTAGACATCCCATCAGCCCAAAACTCTTGAGGATTATTAGGCACAACAATTAGTAACAAGTGATACTGAGCCAGCAATTAAGAATAAATCCAGCTCCAGGATTTCCATAGCATTCAAGTACCAGGAAATGGGTTTTTGTCCTAAAAACTGTGGAGACTCATCATCCTAATCCTTTTCTTCAGAATTGAGAAAGTAACTGACTACTTGGAAGCACTCATTGATCCCTTTGACCTGGATGTGTTCACACCACACCTCAACAGCAACCTCACACGCCTGGTGCAGCGAACTTCTGTAAGCCAGTCCCTGTGAAAGATAAACCCGCTCTATTTTTTTTGAACGCAAGCTGCGGTTAGTTATAAAGACTGAAAGAGGATTAGGTAAGATCTCACTGCTGAGATTTGACCCCATTCATGGTAGATAAGGATTATTCAGGTTTTATCCAGGCCTCAGAAAGGAATAAAAGAGCCATGTGACTCAGATTCTGACAGGTGGTAATTTTTAAGCATTCACACACTGAAAAGAACGTTCCCCAAAATGATGATCACGAAGTGACTGATTACTGACAGAAGCGGCTTAAACTGGCCAATAAACCTGTGTTTTTGTACCCCCTTCTTGTCTTGTCAGGTTCTATTTGGACTGGTTACTGGTACAGAGAATCAGTTCACCCCCAGGAGCAGCACATTCAACTCGCAAGAACCCCATAACATACTGCCGCTGGCATCGAGTCAGATCAGGTAACGATCCCACCAGGCTTCTGCTGGCCCCCAGCTTCCTGTTCATGCCACTGAAATGCCTTCATCTTCTCTTGGAGGTTTGGACTTCTTCCACTCAGCATGACAAGCACTCGAAAGGCCAAATCAACCAGCAGAAGCATCGAATCCAAAGCCCAGGTTAGTGCAGAAATCAAAAGGTTCATCCCTATGGATCCTGTCCCATTTCCCACCAAACCACCCAATTGGCTCCCCTTAAAGAATCGATAAAGAACTGAATGACAAAATGCACTAATGCTGCTTTTAATGGCGGCGCAATATAGAAGTACAGGTTTTACTAGCTTGAGCTGATAGGTTTAAAAGGTGCTCATTTACACTATCAAGTAGCCTCATATAGAAACAGATCTCAGGCTGCCGAGGCTGGAGATCTGCAGGACAGGAAGGAGGTTCTTGGGTTTTGTAGGATAAAAGAGTGAACTGCTAACCCAGCACTATCGTTATACTTGTTTGGAAAAAAAAGGTTGGTTTTGGTGATGGTTTCATCTTCCATTTCTTTTACTTGGGTGGTAAATAAAAGGAAATTTGCTTTCTTGAGTTTTACATTTTCTTGTTAATACACGTTTTGTTTCAGGAGGTTGCCATCCATTAGCCTGCAGGAGGAGTCCTGGGTATTTCTGCATTGTGTTGTATACATGTGTGTTTGAGAGCTCAAGTGCTGGCTTCTTTCAGCATTTAGTTGTTTACTTTATTGCTAGACAAAACAATAGCAATGAATCCTTTCCACATTCCCTGCCACAAACCCATTAAGATCCAAAATCCTTGTCAAACATCTGGTTTTAAAACTTGAGAGATGGTAGTAAAAAAATTCTTGCACAAACCATCTACTCCATAAGCAGTGGCCTGTGCAGTAACTTCCCTCCCCAATTCTAAATTTCTACTTCAAGTAACTGACCTTTACATTCTGTCCATAGTAGAGGAACCACCACGGAAAGGTGTAGATTTACCCTTTCCTACAGTAGTTCCATCTGCAAAGTTTAGTCGTCCCCATGTCCTCTTCAATCCCCTGAACTAGAGCTGCCCGTGCTTCTCAGGTCTGTGTGCTGTGTGCACTCCGAGTGGGGTGGGGTGGGGCGGGGCGGGGCGTGGCGGAGGTGAGCAGGCAGGAGGATCTGGGTGGACTCTAAGGCACTTTCCTCTCCATGCCATGGCAGGTTGTCCCCCCGGCACTCTCCCGAGCAGATGACCCGACGCATCCCGGCTCCTTATTCAGACAGTTTGTCAGTGAGGACGAAGACTCTACACCTTCCTTATTCAAACTTGGTTGGCTCTCTAGTATGACTAAGTAACATGGGACCTGGCCATCACTCTCTAAATAAATACTACTGCATCATTTCTACTAACGGTGCCTCTGCTCATCTGTTTCTAAGCCACGCTAGTCTGTCCAGTCTCAGTGGTGGAATGCGGCCCCTGGTTACTGTTAGTGGGGTCACTTCAATTCTAAAGGGAATCCTTGGCCAACAGTCTCACAGCACTGTGACTTCAGACATCAGTTCCGATAGCTTACACTGTCACCATTCAACAACGCTGCAATTCTCGACACTACAGGGTAGAATTATCAGTGAGATCACATAAGCTGCCGAGAGAACAAGTTTGTAAGACAAAAAATCATTACATATTTCTTGACTGTTGGAACTGCAATGTTTTCTACCCAATCGGAGATGTAGGCTCTGAGCAATAAGGTGACAATTATCTGCATATACAAGAACCTGAAAGACATTCTCTTGGAAATACAAATACACAACAGAGAGGAGACAGTTACTGGGGAGGGTGCTTCGCATACACAGCCTCACCTGGACCTGACTCTCTGTTACAAAGGAGAGCATTTCCAACCGCACAGCTACATACTAAGAGGTAGTATGGCAATTTCAGTGCAAGACTGAATCAAGGTCTATATTTTGGAAAAAAATGTATGTTTCTTCATGGAAACTACATACTCTTTACTAGTTTATTGAATTTAAAAAATTGAAGATCCCGCATTTTTAAAAGGCCTTTTTACATAAAGTAGAATTTCTAATTGACAGATTTGGAAATCAATCTGAATTGGACAAACTATGGACTCAACACGCAGATGAGATTTCCTCATACCATTACCTTGACATGGATTTGATACCCACCCTCAAAAGAATCCTATAAAAAATTGCTTCAAAGCCCCTTTAAAATTGCAATAGTGCAGCAAAACCACAAGTAAACAACTGCCTGTTAACCTGTTATTTCAAATATAGAGTGGAAAGCCAACAGGCATTTTTTGTGCAATTTTTTAAAACATCGTAAGATGAAATATCAAATCTGCACAGCGCTGTCCCTTCACAGAAGGCAAGAAACCACCAGCCCATCATGTTGGAGGCCGGCCTCGGTGCTGTAGGCTATGAAAGTGGGCCTCCTTCAGGGTCTGGTTGATGTGGAAGTAAAGGCCTTGGCATAGTGCAGACTGCTCAGGTGCGGGCTGAGGGGTGTTGGGGCTGGACCCGGTGACGATGTGGTTCAAGCTACTTTCTGGCCCACTGGCCCTGTCCGGGCTGTTGATGCTGCTGCTGCTGCTGCTGCTCCCGCCACTGTCACTGCTTGAAGACTGGAAAGAAAAAGGAACAGTTTCACAACTAGGCTACTTGTTTCTTAAGAACTTTACTGTGGTTTAACTTAAGAATATTCTTCCTACCTAGTCTGAGAAGTACCAGATCAAAACATATACTGAGTTAGCCCAGCTGGTTAGCTCAGTAGTTGAGTGTTGACCTATGGACCAGGAGGTCACAGTTCGATTCCCAGTCAGAGCACATGCCTAGGTTGCAGGCTCAATCCCCAGTAGGGTGCAATGCAGGAGGCAAACGATCCATGATTCATCATTGATGTTTCTCACTCTCCCTCTCTCTGAAATCAATAAAAATGTATTTTAAAATATTTTAAAAATATATATACTGGGCTTGCCCTAGCCAGTTTGGCTGTGGTTAGAGCATCGGCCCACAGACTGAAAGGTCACAGGTATGATTCTGTTCAAGGACACATACCTCGGTTGTAGGCTTGATCCCAGGCCCCAGTGGGGGTGCATAGGGGAGACAACCAATCAATGTGTGTGTCTGTCTGTCCCTTCCACTCTCTCTTAAAAAATTAATGGAAAAAAATATCCTTGGGTGGATTAATAATAACAATAACATACTGGGCTTTACAGTTTACAAGTTACGTTCACCTAAGACAATGGTCAGCAAACTCATTAGTCAACAGAGCCAAATATCAACAGTACAACAATTGAAATTTCTTTTGAGAGCCAAATTTTTAAACTTAAACTATATAGGTAGGGAAATTATTACTGACTTAATTAGGGTACTCCTAAGGCTTAGGAAGAGCCACACTCAAGGGGCCAAAGAGCCGCATGTGGCTCGCGAGCCGCAGTTTGCCGACCACGGACCTAAGGTATTTCATTCTATCCTCACAGCTACCTTGTAATGTCAAGTGGGATTACTGTCCCCATTACACATCCCTAAGTGGCAGGGTCCAGACTGAAGCACAGGCCTTCTACCGCAAATCCCTTCAACTACATCTTAACTCCTTTACATGTCTTCTCTATCTTGCCATTCATTCCAATAATTTCTAATAATCAAGGGAACAAGTTCTCAGCCTGTAAGGCAGGGGTGGGGAATGCCCAGCCCGGAGGCCAAATAAGGCCTGGGAAGTCATTCAGTCTGGCCCTGCCAAGGCATTAGAGGTGAGTTAATTAAATGTTTGAACAAAAGTAGCAGACGAATTCTGTATGGCCCTCAAATGATGTTATAAAAATCCAAATGGCCGTTGGCAGAAAAAAAGGTTCCCCACCCCTACTCTAAGGGTAAGTATCACTCATTGGTACAGGATGTAAAAAAGGTATCCACATAACAGATAAAATGGCTTCTGGGAACAAGTAAGAATAAAAAATAAAAACCTGTGACAATTTGTGGTTATCTCAAGGACGAAAATGGTGTTCTCTGAATGCAGAACACATTCTGAGATTTTAATATACTTCTTGTAAAGTGATATTAGCATTTTTGCAGTTCGATGTGTGTATATGTGCATGTGCACGAACCTGTCTAATATTTTAATGTAACTAACATGACTGGGTGTCTTAGTCATCCTGAAGAAGCTACTCAGAGATCCCTAACAAGAGTCACTCAGAAATCTCCTTTTTTCCACTAGTAGGGGTCTCAAAAGAGAAGGCTATGGTAAGGATCCTTCAGAACTACGGTATTATACAATTTTAATACGGCAATCATTTAATTAGCACTCTCCTCTATTTACAACTCAATACAATATTATACTAGAACAGTGATGGCGAACCTATGACACGCGTGTCAGAGGTGACACACAAACTCATTTTTTTGGTTGATTTTTCTTTGTTAAATGGCTTAAATATAT